GGGCAAACGAGGGCGATGGACCCTGAACTTAGAACCCGAAATTAGCTAAACCCTGAACCCTAAGCCCCAAAATTAGCCTCGACCCTAAACCACCAAAATTCGCTAAGCCCTCAACCCTAAACCCCCAAAATTAGCTAAACCCTCAACTAGGGCTTAGGAGTTTAGGGTTTGGGATCTGGGGTAAACTTTCAACTCGGACTCCCCGACACGACCAGCCGCTGTTGCGAGATTCTGGCAGGTCCCGCAGGTGCAGCTGGCGGAGTTCGTGAAGCAGGTGGCAGCGGTTCTTGGAGTGCTGGGTTTCCATGGTTTCCTTCGTTTGCTTTTTGTATTATCGGTGTTGCAGGGTTGCAGAGTTTCGGGGTCCAGGGCCACCGGGGTTAGAGTTTAGGGCTTCAACTTGTCGCGTCTTGGCTTTAGGATTTGGAGCTCAAGGCAATGCTTTGTTTTAAGTGTTTTTGGGCATGGGTAGGTCTTTGAAAATTCTGGTCCCTTTTAGGTCATTTTTATTATAAGGGTGCCGTACTATATTGGGGGCCTAAAGAGGACGCTAACTTTGAGAACTATCCGCATGATGTTCGGGGTGCAGGGTCAGGTTTTCAGGGACTGCATGACCCAGGGTTGAGGCAGTCATGCCTGCAGTGTTCTGGGCCATACTCGGCCAGGAACTTCCGCAGTTTTTTTCGGAGTTTGGGTTTAGGGGTTTCGGGGTTTAGAGTTCAGGATTTAGGGTTTTAGGGTTTCGGGTTTAGGGTTTAGGGTTTTGACGGGACCAGAATGGGCCCCAGGGTCCAAGGATCAGAGAAGTAGGCTGCTAAACCCTAAACCCTAAACCCAAATCCCATTTTAAGAAATCCCGGGGATCCTTCAAGCAACGCAGTCCTAAATCCCGGTTCAGAACCCCCAGATCCAAAACCCAAAACCCAGAACTTCAACGACCCCAAACCCTCCAAATCCCAAAGACCACTTGAGGGTCTAGGGTTTCGAGTTCAGGGCTTGGGCTTTGATTGAATTTTACCAACGACCGTAAACCCGACACCCCACACCCTAGACCCTAAACCCCACACCCCTAGACCCAAAACTCTAAACCCCTAAACCCTGCACCCTAGACCCTAAATCCCTGAACCCTAAACTCTAAACCCTAAATCCCTGAACCCTCAACCCTAGACCCTAGACCCTAAGCCCTAAACCCTAAACCCTAGACCCTAGACCCTAAACCGTAAAGCCCTAAACCCTAAACCCTATATTTACCCCAAACCCTCCAGTCCTTCGGCCCCGGGCAGCCCAGCCCAGACCGCAGCCTCGAAGGTTCGAAAGTTCCGGTTCCATCGTTTCCGACCTTCCCAGAGAGACTCCCCGAGGAGTCTCTGGGCCGTTCCCTCGCCATGCCTCGTGCGCCGCTGGCTTTGCGAGCCCTGCTCTTTGGCTTGAGCCTGCAGGCAATGGCAGCTGCCCAACTTGGGAGTTCCCGAAAAGAAGGGGTGCCTGATTTAGGGGTCCTTATAATAAGGATCCTACTATTTAGGGTACTATATTAGGGTCCCCTATTTAGAGAACTACCCACTTCTCTGTTTCAGACATAGCCACCATATAGAAGCTAGAATAATGACCAACATTCTTCCCTAAGTTTCTTTATTCAAAGTCTTGAAGTATGCGATAGTATGATATACGCCGAAAACCTGTGAAGGCCCTACCTTAAGCTGGATTCACAGTGCGGACTCAACCCTAAACCCCAAACCCAAAACCAAAGATTACCTCTATATCTTAAGAACCCAAAACCCACTTTTTTGTAGGTTCTTATTATAAACCCTGATATGGGATTACAAAAAAGTAGGTTTTGGGTGCTTAAGGTATAGAATCTAGAAGAACTCCCCCCAGGTGTGGAAGCTGTGTTTCACCGAGCTGGGCATCCTCTCGGCTCGTGCGAGAGTAGCTTGGTGCTCCTTTGGGTTTAGGGTTTAGGGTTTAGGGTTTAGGGTTTAGGGCAAGTCGAGGGTTTAGGAGTCACTTTCATTGTGGTCAGAATAGAAAAGCAAGGTTATTAAAACCCTAAGCCCTATAGGTAAGCCAATATTCAAGTCCCTGAAGCTTAACGGCTAAGGTAGCTTGGTTGGCGGCAGGTTTGACTCTACACACTGAGCTGCCACGGCAGACGACAGTACACCCGGTGCCTTTGCTAAGGGCTTCGAGGTTTGGGGGGTCCATTAACGATTCTATGGGTCTCTTGAAGGGTTATGGAGTCCGTTTGGGGTTTTCGGGGGTTTAGGGCGTAGGGTTTGGGGCTAAGGGGACAGGGGCTGTTTTTCTTGAGTAAACTACTCGCTAGGCTTAAGGCCCTGCCAATTAAATGGACAGCGCCAATGCAGGTGGCGTCATCCAGAAGCTTGCAGAAGAGATCTAGTTCCGAGACCGATTTCTCCACGCAGGACATGCAGCAGGTGGCGAATTTAGTTCTGTCAGGTGGGGCTCTCTATGCAAGCGGCGCCTACAACAGCAGCTACGCGGCTGTCTTGGATGCGCACTCTCGGGCGATGAAGAGAAGCACAGAGTATCGGAGGACCCGAAGAAGGTCCCCGTGAGTTCCGGCTGTCCAGTTCCCGCCGAAGGATCCTGGACAATACCAAACCCAAGATAAGTATACCTTACCGAAATACTGGTGTATTGGGTTACATACTATATCGTTAGTACCCAACCCTAAACCCTAAACCCTAAACCCTAAACCCTAAACCCTAAACCCCTAAACCCTAAACCTTCTTTTTCGGGATCTGGAGGTCCAGGGTCCTGGTCCCTTAGGGGGAAAGCCGAGGATGGGCTTGTCGGTTGAAGCGAAGGTAACGAAGCCCTGGAGCGCTTTCGACCCCTAGGCGTTCAGGCGGTAGAGATTTTTTTGTCTTGGCAGGTCTTGGAGGGTTTAGGGTTTAGGGTTTCTGCTCTCCTGGATGTAGTATTTAGAATTCGTACCATTTCTTTACATGGCTTCCAAGAGAGCAGCTGTGTTCAAGGGGAAGGTTTTGGAGTCTAGCAGCTTTGATGCGGCTTCGTCACTGGGCTCCGAAGACAGATCCCCTTGACATTGGGAAAGCATTTCTGGGAGCCCTAAACCCTAAACCCTAAACCCTAAACCCTAATTAAAAGGCGAGGCAATTCTCGTTCAGACCACCTGAAGTTTTGCGCAAGTATCTGGTATGATTGCCTGGCCAGGCTGCGCAGTTTATCGGTGCAGAGTTTGTGGGTTCGACGGTTTGGAGTAGAATGCCCTAAACCCTAAACCCTTAACCCTAAACCCTAAACCCTAAACCCTAAACCCTTAACCCTAAACCCTAAACCCTAAACTCTAAACCTAAGCTAAACCTAAACCCTAAACCGTAAACTTAAGCCCTAAACCCTGAAGCCGGTTTATCTAGGCCCCGCATCCTAGGCCTAGACCCCAAACCTTAGACCCTCGATCGAGCTTGAACTGCGAGTGACACCCTCGGCATCTGGAAAGCCTGTGACCTGCAGGCAGAAGTCCTGGCAGCCGTTCCGCAGAAAATGTGTCTCTGCATGCTTGGTTTGCTTTTCGTGTGTGTGTGTGTGTATGTGTGTTTGTGTGTCTGTGCGCCTCCCTCTCGCTCTCTCTCTCCCTCTCTCTCTCTCCCTTTCTCTGTGTTCCTGTACGACGTACGTGAGGGGTTGATCCAAAACCACAGAAGTTGACTTGATACCACTGGGTCGATGAATGTTGAGGCCAGCTCGTTTTGGAATAGCATTGCAAATCATTGGTTGTGTGCGCGCAAGAATGTGCAGGGGCGGGCGCACCAGCATGCAAGAGACGTTGATATGTACATTAACCCTTCAACAAAGTACATGCCTATATACCAGATGTTGATAAGCTGCTTCGCACGCAAGCATGCGCAAGTGTGTGTGTCATGGCGGGCACAAGGGCTATGAAACGGTTGGGCGCCGTATTGTTGACCAGCGCCCATGTATGAATCGTTAGATGCGTAGACAGGTGGCGACACACATTGATCGGGGCACGGGTCTACGTGGCCGTCGGCGTCTCTGCTTGCGTGTGCTTGCTTGTCGAAATATACGCGTATTGACGCGTTATGCATGCACATGTAGGTGACATGTGCCGTGCTTGCCCAGCCGGCTGGTTCTGTGCGCATCGGTCATCTTCTTGTTGGTCTCTTTTGCAGCTGTCATGTGCCGTCGATGTTGTGCTTCCTCTGGCACATGTTGCTGTTGGTCTCATGCTCATCAACATCTTTATGCCTTCTTGTATTGTTATCCGGTTTAGGGAGTATTTCAATCATGTGTTATAGTCACGGAAACCTAAAGCCTGACATGTTCACGTTGCTTTCATCCTTCACCCTGAACCCTAAACCCTAAACCCTAAACCCTAAACCCTAAACCCTAAAAGCCTAAAAGCCTAAAAGCCTAAAGCCCTAAACCCGAAAACCT